AAGAGAAATGAAAGCTGTGCGGAAGGGGAGGTTCACGCACTTAGGGGTTCAGTGGTCAGAGTCAGCCAAAGGATCCCCCCAGCCACAATTGCACTCTGTAGATCGAGGAAAATCACAACTGCCCTGTTGACACTTCTCAGCAAAATCACATCCCTCCGCGAGAGATCTCTCACACGTAAGGCTGGCAGTTAAGGCTTGATTTATAACCTAGGAGAGAAAATGCCATTACAAAGGAGCTGGGTAATCAGTAGACACAGTATAATTAATCGTTTTTCTCCTGATGTTCTCCAACCACTGAAATTCTCACCTCTAATGAGATGAGGTGTCTGTCAGTTGCTCTGTACTGGCAGCACATGTATTGGCAAGGTAAATTAGATCGACTCCCAGCTGTGCTGGAACAAAATCCAACAGAGGGAAAGCGGGGTACCATGAGAGATGGGGTATTTGTTTTCTCCCCCATCTCCAAATTGATAGGGAGGCCAACAGAGGCACTGTCACCTAGCCAGGGTCCACACAAGGCCCTCACAAGTCACCATCATCAAAACAGCCACTGCATTTTCTTAAGAAAACTGCAGCTGAGACTACCTGAACATAAGTTATCTGCAGCACCCGTATCTCTACCTGCAACTATCACAACAATATCATTGCTTCCTTTACCTCCTGCTTATGCCAATATTTACAGGGGCGCTTCTGCTGGACTGTGCTGATGAAACTGCCCGTCCTGCAGTTCAAACTTATGCCAAGAAAATATTCCGCTGGCCTTTCCCAACCTTACAAACAATCCCACCTCCTGATTTCATTGCTGGAAAAACTGTACAGCACCCTTCCTCTTCTCATCCATATCAAAGCTTCCAGCTTCGGATCTGCACACAATAATTTTCTTCTCAAGTACTGCATTACTTTCTAAGTCTTTTCTCACCAAACAGACAGTCAGGGTCTCCCAGGACACAAAAGATGCTCATTTTGCCTTTGCATTACCCTGGCAAGCAAATCTACAGAGGGCTAAAAAGGAAAGGAAGAATGTTTCTCCAGCAGGCAAGTTAGAGGGAAGCAAATCATCTCTGTGGCACCCACAAACCTTAACAGTAGAAAATAAAACGTGCACATATGTATATATACATATACGAGGGATGTATGTCACACTGTATTCAAAAATTTCCAGAATCAGTTGCTTCAAGGATAAAGAGCGCCATGAAGGTCTAGTGGGGTGCTGAATTTCTGTCTACCACGTACATCAGCAGAGTACAAAATTGTTGTCAGCGCTGGAAAAATTGCCCATCACGTGAGTGGGTTTAGCAGACAAGGAGCTGCAGGACATGGGCACAAATACGGCAGGCCCGGAGAGCGAAAACACGCTGGGGAGCGGCACGCGGCATCCGTGCAGACACGGTTCCCTCGGCAACGGGAGAAAACACCTCAAAAATGCTCAGAAGTGTTGTGCTGCACACGCTCCCCCCACCACCACCCCGCTACTCCCGGCTCTTGGTCCACGTGCTGCGATATAATCCGGGCTGTCCGCAGACAATGCAGCCCTCAGCTCATGCTTATCACCGCAGAGAGCTCAAAGGAGCGGGAGGCACACGTACGCTCAGCCAGGACGACTGTCACATTCATCACACGTGTCGCCAGCAGCACCGGCTTTAACAGCCCCTTCTCCATCCCGTTCTGCCTTTTCCTTGTGCAACAGGTTAAAAAAAAAAAAAAGGGACCCTACAGAAGAGGGGCGGGTGGTTCAGGGGTGGACACACCACCGCTTCAGCGTGCTGGGGTTCAAAGGAACCCTGTTTTAGCATCCCCCATGGCCCCGTGGCGGGTGGGGGGGGTGACCACTGCCAGGCAGCAGTTTTCCGTGGGTGGACCCGTCC